CTTCTAAATACCTCCAGGGATGGTGACTCCAGCACTGCCCCGGGCAGCCTGTGCCAGTGCTTGACACCCTTTCAGTGAAGCCATTTTTCATACTATCCAACCTAAACCTCTCCTGGACCTTCTTGTCCATGGGGGTCACACTTGCTAATGTCCAGTCAACTGGGACCTCCCCAGTGAGCCAGGACTGATAATGCTGATAATGATGGGAAGTGGCTCAGTGAGCGCTTCCACCAGCTCCCTCAGTACCCTTGGGTGGATCCCATCCAGCCCCATAGACCTGTGTGTGTCCAAGTGGTGTAGCAGGTCACTGACCATTTCCCCTTACACTATGGGGGCTTCATTCTGCTCCTTGTCCCTGTCTTCCAGCTCCAGGGGCTGGGTACCACAAGAATAACTGGTGTTAATGTACTTATAGAAGCATTTTCTATTACCTTTAATGGCTAGGTACCCCAAGAACAACTGGTCTTGTTATTAAAGACTGAGGCAAAGAAGGCATTAAGTACCTCAGCCTTTTCCTCATCCTTTGTCACTGTGTTTCCCCCCACATCCCATAAAGGATGGAGATTCTCCTTACCCTCCCTGTGTTGCTAATTTATAGGAACATTATTTATTGTCTTTTATGGCAGTAGCCAGATTAAATTCCAGTTGGGCTTTAGCTCACTTAATTTCTCACTGCATAACCTCACAACATCCTTGTAGTCCTCCTGAGTTTCCAGCCCCTGCTTCCAGAGGTCACAAACTCTCCTTTTCTTCCTGAGTTCCAGCCAAAGCTCCCTGTTCAGCCAGGCTGGTCTCTCCCCTGATGGCTCATCTTTCAGCACATGGAGACGGCTGTTCCTACGCCTTTAGGAATTCCTTATTGGAGAACGTCCAGCCTTCTGAACTCCTCTGCCTTTTAGAGCTGCCTCCCAAGGGACTCTATCAACCAAGCTCCTAAAGAGGCCAAAGTCACCCCTCCAGAAGTCCTGGTTCTGCTGACCCCACTCCCTGCTTCTCCAACAATTGAAAACTCTTATCATTTTGTTATCACTATGGCCAGACATGTCCTCCAACCATCACATCACCCACTAGTCCTTCTCTGTTCACAAACAACAGGCCCAGCGGGTACCTTCCCTCAATGGCTCTCTCACCAGCTGTGTTAGGAAGTTCTCTTCCACACACAAGGAACCTCCTGGACTGTTTCCTTTCTGCTTATTGTATTTCCAGCAGTTGAAGTCCCCCATGAAAACAAGGGCTAGCCTTTGTAAGACTTCTCCCAGCTGCTTACAGAGTATTTCACCTGCCTCTCCATCCTGGTTGTGTGGTCTGTAACACACTCCCACCATGATATCTGCCTTGTTGGCCTTCCCCCTGATTCTTACTCAGAAACACTCAAACCTATCACCACCATCATTAAGCTCTAGACAATCAAAACACCCCCTAACACACAGGACCACCTCACCACCTCTCATTCCTTGCCTGTCCCTTCTGAGGAGTTTATAGCCACCCACCGCAGCACTCCAGTTGTGCCAGTCATCCCACCATGTTTCCATGATGGCAGCTCTGTCACAGCTTTCCTGCTATGCGATGGCTTCCACCTCCTGTTTGTTGCCCATGCTGCATGCATTGGTGTAGATGCACTTCAGTTGGGCTGTTGATTCCACCCCTTTTTTGGGGGAAAAGACCCAATTCCTACATGACCATTCTCAGGGGTTCTGTGGTTTTTAACACATCAATAACACTTGTGAATTTGCTGCTGCACAGGATTTCCATCCCCTACCTCCACTAAGACTGAAGGGCCTCACTAGCGCACCATCCCTCAAACAGCAGTGTGCTGCCCCCAGGCTTATCTCTACTGAGCCTGGTCTGATCCTTTGTCCCTTCAAGTGTAGTTTAAAGCTCTTTCAATGAGCCCTGGTTACTCCTGCACAAAGATCCTTTTCCCCCTTTGAGCCTGGTGTACCCCGTCTGCCACCAGCAGGCCTGGTGTTGTGTGAACCAGCCCATGATCGTGGTGACACCAGGCCTGGAGACAGGCATTGACTGATGGCTCTTCCTGTTTCTTCCCTCATCATTCTCTGCAACTGGAAGGGCAGAGTAGAACAGTAAGATTTCAGGATAATTCAGGCTGGTCTCTATCCAACCTCCACATCAAAGCAGGGTCAGGTTGCTCAGGGTTTTACCCACTCAGGTCTTGAAAACCTCAAAGGATGGACTCTGCACAACCTGCCTGATTGTCCTTGAGGTGAAGAAGTTGTGGCAAAAGTACAACCCCAAGGTCCACACCAGGACCGTGAGAAGGACACATGCTTAATTCCTAGAGTGGGGCATTGCCACCCAGCCTCAAAAACCCCATGCATGGTCACCTCTCCCTGCCCAAAGGGGCTAAGGTAACCTCTGCTCCTCTGCAGTGTGTTCCCACCTCTGGGAATAGAGGCAGAGAGACCAAAGCCAGTTGCCTGAAGACATGGAAGCAGCTCAGAAGCTTCCCCAGCAGCTCTGCATTTCACCACCAAGCCACATTCTCCTTCTCCCTGCAAACCTCTCAAGAGCTGGCTTGGTATGAACCAATTCCTGTAAAAGCTTCTCAGCAAAGGAAAGATAAAGCTTATTTCTCATCTGCAATCGCTTATAAAAGTCGGTTGATGCATCTCAAATTCCTCCTGAAAACACCAGCTTGCTGTTATCCCTTGCAGCATGCTTTTTACAGCTTTCAGGGCTCGAGACAGAATCAAACGAGACTTAAGTGTCTCCAATGAGTTTTGCATTATGAGCCTGGTTCACCACTAAACAGCACTCTTCCGTAAGCGGGATGCAGAGCAAGCCACGTACCAACACTGACATGACCAGTGTTACCACACTGGTTTGAAACACACCCCAAAGCACTGTGGCATCTCTGCAGCTCAGGTCAAGGTAACACAGCACCACCAACATCAGGTCTATCTGTGGGCTGCATCACAACTGCTTTCACTGGTGCTTTCGGTTAATCACACCACCGTAAGCCAGCCCAGAGAGCGGCGTGGTTCCCTCCCACAGCCAAAAGGAAGATCCCCTTTGCTTGCACTAGCAGAAAGCAAAGGAGGAAAGCTCTTACCTGGAAAGACGTAGGGATGCAGACAATTGTCAGGTTCTCCTCTTTAACCCGCTCGGCTGTAGGAAAGGAAAGGAAAGGAGAAGCCTCAGTTTGTTTGTTGCAGAAGGTAAAAACCACACCAACTATCACTTTAAGAAGTCTTTGAATGAATCACTGCAATTACTTGCTTGGCTTGCAAATAACTCGGTCACGCTCGAAACACAAACAGGTGCCACCCTGCATAGGCTGAGGCTCTGTTTCCACAGTCAGAAGTGTTTAAACACCCACCCTGGCTCAGCCCAAGGCACCACGAGCCATTAACCTTTGTGCCTCCAGCAGCAGAGGAGCCCCGTCAGCAAATGTCACCTGGGAAATTAGCCCCGTTCCCCACTCTCACTCCATTAGACAGGTTTTAGCTGCACTCCTTGTAAACACAGAGCCCCAGCAGCTGTCTGAAAGGTTTTCTGGCTTGTTGCCTTGGGGACATCACATTCATTTATTATAGAACATTTAAATATATGGCAGGGAAAGGACTAATAAAATACAGTATATCATTAAATGGAAGGAAATATTTCCTCCCCCAGGTTAACCTCAAATGACTAAAATCTATTACTAAGATATCATTATGGACAAAATGTTATTTTAGTAATTACAATACTTGGGCATAAGCCAGCAGCCCAAGAGGCAGCAGCAGCTCTCACACCACAGCAAGCACACGGGCTACATGCTCCTTGTAACGCTGCTGCTGGAGGGGCTGAAGGTGCAATACATGAGGCTGTGAGTCGTTACAAACCCCGTCCCAGTGCTAATGCACTCAGTAGACACAAGAAGTCAGAATTTGCAGCCTGGAACGGGCACTCCACTTTAAATACTGTACCCATTTATTCAGAGATTGATTCTGTGTTAGTCGGGAGTGATGGCAATACAGAGCCCAACCCAGAAAGCTGAACCGCAGCACATGATGAGGGATGAGGTGGATGCCAGGGGCAGGCACAGCGCCATTCCTTCTGTTTCCCTGCAAAGCAAAGCACTGTGCTATGCTCGGACCTCAGCACCACTTGCCCTGGGTGGGTGACACTGCCCAAGGGAGCTGGAGGTGACAAGGGGACTTCCCAACCACGCAGAGCCACCCATGTGGGACACACTGAACTCCAAAGAGAGTCCCCCTCTGCATCCAAGCAAGACCCCCGGAACAACAGACCTGATCCTGCACTCCCAACCCACCACAGCACCCACACTGCTCTGGTTTGCACCCAAGTGAAGCAGGACGAGGTACAGCACCTCCACAGGCAGATCTGCCCTAGGGCTGAAAGTGCCCTGTGAAGGGAACTTTAAACCTCTGTAATGAGGCATGAGGATAATTGCCCTCACATTCCCTTTGCAGAAATGCATTGGCTTCACTTGAACATTGTGCCGAAATGTTCTGAATCACACCTTGAGCAAACCTGCACCCGGGGCCAGCAGGTAAATCTAGCTATAAGGTATGAAAATTGCAGTGGGATTTCACATTCCTCTTTGTTACACCTCAGGAGGACCCTCAGAGTGAATAATGTGGATGTGAGCAGACAACGTGAGCTGCATACAAATGGGTTAACGGAAGCAGAGCAGCTGCATGGCCCAGAGCCACAAAGCAAGTCAGGACTGGGGCAGAGCTGGAATGAAATGGAGGAGTTCAGCTCCAGTTTGCGGTAGGTGCCAGAAAAGTGCTTTGCCTGGCTCTATAGGGAGAACAAGTGGTAAATCATTACCTCTTCTGGACTCTCTATGCAACATATTTGGAGAATGAGACCTAGATTTAGCCTTCAGCTTCAAGGAGGACAGTGAACAGAGCTGACATATCAGCTCTAAGTCAGCATCCAGATGATTTAACAGGGTTTTGAAGTAGCTGGGGCAGCTGCACAAGGGGAGGGATAGGAAAAGGAGCATCCTACCTAATCGATGCACCGCGTGGACTATCGTGGAACCACTTCCAATCCCAAGAACTTGATTGTTCTGCAAATCAAAGAGAGACAGAGGAGAGCTGTTACTGGGGGCTCAGCACAAGGGCTTTCCGCTTTTCCTGGCGGATTTGACATTAGAAACACATGGAGTAGAACCTTGCCCAGAGATGCACGCTGACACACATCATCTTAGCACGCTGCAGGCAAGGAAAGGAACACACTGTGCCAGCGAGGGCACGACCGCTCTCTGTGGCCAAGGGATTTTAAGCAACTCACCCCCTTATTAAAGGACACTCACTAAATACCACCATGGTCTGAACCTCAGGGTGTTCAATGCACGCTCGCTGCTGGTTGCTGGCACTCCATGCATCCTCTCCTGCCGGAAAGCTGGGAGTTTCAGGCAATACCACAGAGGAAGAAGCTGAAAGAACCTCACGATAACATCTCCCAAGGAAGCCACACAGTAAAAGCATGGGTTTGCTGCCAACTGTATTGTTAGTAAACAGTACACATGCAGCAGCAGCTGCTCCTGGGGAATAAAAATTGCCTATATCAGAGTCCAGCCACACATCTGAAAGATGAGTGAGCCCGGCAGTGTATGCTGAAGAGGATCCTATTTGAACCACAGCTCATAAACAGTGGTTTATGGAGGATCACTACTATCTCATCCACAACACAGGCAAGCTTCTAAAAGGGGCTGCAGGCTAAGGGTGGATGGGTTCAGCTTTGTTACCTCTCAAGAGGATGCCCTGCCATGTAGATCTCTGTTTATTATCAACTCAGTCTCCTACCCACTGAGAGCTACCCGCAGCCTCTCGCACACTTCCCATTTCCAGTGTACTTCCCTTTCTTTGGATGGGATCCAAAGCTTAAATTGACTTAAGGAGGCCCAATATCACTACAGAGACTCCAAATGAGAAAGACTTGAAGCCAGCCAGAGATGCAGGCACAGAGCTGGTGTGTGTTATCTCTTGGACATTAGACAGGTCTGGAGCTCTTTCTCCACGTGCAGCAAATCCAGAGTTCAGCAGCTATGGAAAAAGCCACACCTGCAGCATTTCGACCAACTGAACTCTTACACAAGCACACAAGCTGGCAAGGTGGAGCTCAAGACAGGTCATGCTCCCCTGGGATTAATGATTTCCCTCGCTTCTGCAGGTTGAAAGCTCAAAGAAAACAGTAGTTTTCCAAACCCCAGCACACAACCAGGGACTCAGCTCATAACCCAACCCTCAGTAACCACCATGACCCTGCAAAAGACAGGGAAAGCAGGACATGGCTTTCTGCATGCCTGCAATGCTCCCAGCAGAAACCCAATAGCTCCCGAGGTTCCTCAGTTTCACCTGCCCCATGGGTAAGCCAAGTGTGGCCAGCCAAGGAAGGGGAAGCAAAGCTGCATAGAGGCTGTCAGGACAGTACCAGTGTTCCCAAGAGACTTGTTTTGACCTGGGAAGAGGCAGTTTCTTTTCTTTGTCCTCCTTTCTACAGGGTGGGACAGCTTCTTGGAGCAGCTGGATGGCCAAAGGGATAGGGAAAGCATCAGCATCAGCTGCTCCACTGTAATGAAGAGGGAAGAGCTCACAAGGGTCCTAAGCCCATCGCCGGCAATAAACTTCAACGTCTTTATAAGTGATCACAGAATCACAGAATCAGCTGGGTTGGA